GGATCATCGGGGATCCCCAGTGGACCTCTGACACCCCCCCGCACTGGGATGCCCGAGGTGCACACACCGGGAATCGAACCCGAGACCTTCGCTCTGATACCATGTCAGAATCCTAGTCACTAACCACTGGGATAAAAGGGCTTGTTTGTATAGCGGGTGAGTGCGCCTATAACCCCCCAGGCCGACATGCCTGTAACCCTTCCCTAGGATCATCGGGGATCCCTAGTGGACCTCTGACATTAGCTTGATGGGAGGCCACCACCTTCAAGGGGACTTAGAGGTGTAGCAATAGGGGGAGGATGCAGGCACGAATATAGGGGGTACGTGCGTTTGACTCTGTATTGTTTGTATGTTCTGTAAATCTCATGTAATTGCTTCAGATCTGTACAAGCGTGAGTGTCAGGCCATAACAAACTAGTAGGGATGGAGAGTATGACGTGACTAGATGTGAGTAAGCTGAGTGGCTTATCTGGGGGATATCAAGTATCAGAAGCAGTGAGGTCAATAGGGAGCTTACATCCAGAGAGGGGAAAGGAGCAACTGCCTCAGAGACATGAGTGATCATGAGTCAGGGAGCAAGGAAACAGAACCCCAGAGACAGCAAAATCACCAGAGAGTGGAGAAGGGTGGAGGGAGAGGCATGGGAGAGGCACTAGGGTGGGGAGAGGTAAGGGAATTTTCGACACTTTCTTGTTCTTGCTCCGATCGCGACGATTCTTGGTTCGTCGGAAAGCTCTCGAGCAGAGCAGTCACTTTAGATATCTGCTCAAGCCAAATAACATTCACACATACTCGGAGAATCCAAACCACACAAGCATATGATAGGAGGCAGACAGACGTGAATGCGAATGATAGCATCACACAACAACACCCATCATAAGGCCAGAACGTACCCATATGCCAATAAGGAATCTGACTACATGATCTGATGTATCAGAGTAGCAGCTTGGGATTGATGAGGCTATGCCAATTCTGCTTTACGGCTATAACCAGGATGAGGAAGACGAGCCTCCCTACTATTTTCTTGCCCCTGCACCAGAGGAACCAGTTAGCAGGGAGGAGGCGCTAGGTATACCAGATAGGGACAAGTGTCTGGCTTCTAGGGATGCCGAGTATTAGAGCCACTTGGAGAATAGGTCTTTGGATGTAGTGGTGCTGCCTGAGGGGAAGAAAGCGGTACAATGCAAGTGGGTGCTGAGGATCAAGACCAATGACAAGGGGCAAGTCACTATCTACAAGAGTAGGCTTGTGGCTAAGTATGACTTCAACAAGACCTTTACTTCCACTTCAATACCCCTTACTCTTTATGTCTTGTTAATAAATGCAGTTGTTAGTGGTAAATGAATCATTCAGATGGATGTATCAATGGCATTGCGTTACGGGATTTCTCTCTATGGAGGAAGTGTACATGATGCAACCGTCTGGGTATGAGGACTGTATGGGCAGGGTGTGTGGGATGGGATAGCGAGATTTGATGGTTACCCGGTCGGATGGGTAAACGCACCTCGAGTCAGGTGTCTGCGTCTGGTCTGTTCTTTGCGTCGTGCTCGTGTCGGGTACTCTCCCACCGGACTCTTCTCTAGCACCACCGACTCGATCACCCCTCTCTGTTGCGTCTCCGTAGCATGCACTCCCGTCTCCTTGTCTCTGGCCTTTCCAGGTCCCTGCCCCCCCTCCCGCGCTCGCCTGCCCCGCCTTGCCTTGCCTGCATCGAGGGGCGGCAGCGCTCCACTCGCCACTCCTCCTCGTTTCCTCTGACCACTGCTCCAATGCAGACTCTCCACATGGACATGTGGGGCCCGGCCCCCATCACTAGGACAGACCAAGAGCGCTACTTCCTTCTGGTCGTTGGCGAATACACGAGCTACACCATGGTCTTCCCTTTACGCAGCAAGGTGGCCGTCAGTGGTGTTTTGATCCCCTGGATCCGTACTACTCGTGGCCAGCTGCGCGAGCGGTTTCAGCAGGACCTACCAATACTGAGTCTGCACTCTGACAAGGGCGACGAGTTCTCTTCCAGCCTACTTGCGGAGTTCTGTCGAGACGAGGGCGTCATCCAGTCGTTCACGCTTCCGGCCTCTCCGCAGCATAATGGGGTTGCTGAGCGTCGCATTGGCTTGATCATGGAGATTGCGCGTACCTCCAAGATCCATGCGGCTGCTCCCCATTTTCTGTGGCCGTTTGCTGTCCGATACACCACGTGTCAGCTCAACCTCTGGCCTTGTGTCTCTTTGCCAGAGACCCCGTGTCTCTTTGTTGAAGGCAGTCTACCGTTGACAACACGGCGGCCACTTGTCGCTCTCCACGCTTGGAGACCCCTCCCGGTTTTCTGCCTCGACCGTCTTCACCACCTCTGCAGCCTATAGTTGTGGACACTGGTGCTGCTAGGGGTGCTGACACTGGGGGTGAAGACGCAGGAGGTGCTGGTCCTGGGGGTGCTGAGACTGGGGGTGCTGGTCCCGGGAGTGAGGGTTCTAGGGGTGCTAAGACTGGGGATGTTGCAAGTCCTAGTGGTGGAGGGGCCGTGGGTGCTCTTGCTGCAGGTCATGGTGTTGGATAGCAGCAGCCACCTAGTCGACTCGAGACACCCTCACCGCTGCAGCTTCGTGAGTGGTTCGTTTGGCGAGGCCACTCTGATGCTAGAGCTTGGAGTTACCTAGATGCTAGAGCTGCTGGTGATGGAGATACTACTGTAGCTGCTCGTGCTGGAGCTGGTGGTACTGGAGGTGCTGGAGCTGCTGGTGCTGGAGGTGCTAGGCATACTAGAGGTGCAAGAGCTGCCGGAGCTGGTGGTGTTGCTGGTACTGGAGGTACTGGAGCTGGTGGTACTGGAGGTGCTGGAGCTGGTGGTACTGGAGGTGCGAACTAGAGGTGCTGGAGTTGCTGGTCCTGGAGGTGCTCGTACTGGAGGTGCTGGAGCTGCCGGAACTAGTGGTGCTGCTGGTGCTTGAGGTACTGGAGGTGCTGGAGCTCGTGGTACTAGAGGTGTTAGAGCTACTGGAGCTGGTGGTGCTGGTAGTGCTGGAGGTGCTGGAGGTGCTACTGTAGGTGCTGGAGCTGGAGGTACTGGAGGTGCTGGAGCTGCTGACGGTACGGGTACTGCGCCGAGCCGACCTTTTTTCTACCCGCAGCCACAGTCGTCCCTGGCACTGCCTGACTCGGCCCTTCGCCAGGTTCTTAGTCACCTGTCTTCCTCTGGCCTCACTCCACCTCTTCTGTGTCCACCAACAGACCAGTCTCAGCCACAGCTACTGCCTGGCTCCCTGCTGCCCACTCTTGCTCCTCACACTGAGGTGACTGCATATTTGACTGAGCGTCTTGGGCCTGATACTCGTGCTTCCACGCCTGTTCGTCCTCCTGCTGTCCCAAGCACTCACGATATGGCATTTCATCCTTCCTCTGTTCCACAGCGCATTGTCCTGCCTGAGCCTCCCGCGTCCTCTCTTCCTAACGTGCCTGACCCTAAGTCCAACCTTGCTCGTGCTGCCAGTCCTACTGTCACGCGTCTCCTCGCTACCGTCGTCACTAACCCTAACTTTGAATCTATTGCTGCGTTTGCTTTAGTCGCTGAGCTAGTCGACTTTGCTGCTAGGAGTCGGCTTGACTACATCGCGAGTCCTGTTACTGAGTCTGGTTATGTCTGATATCCGTCCGTTTCGGGTGAGCCTGCCCTTAACAGTGACGTCCTTGAGTGTCTTGCGGCCATTTTACCTCATTTTGCATCCATGCTGCTTTGCTCTGAGGGAGACCTGGATGCACTTGACATCCCTACACCACGCTCTTACGCTGAGATGATCGCGGTGATTACTCCTCTCAGCGGCAGACAGCCATGGATGCATAGGTGGCTTCAAGGAAGTCCACAGGCACCTATGTCGACGAGGTTCTTCCTCTTGAGGCAAACATAGTCGATGGCATGTGGATTTTCAGAGTGAAGCGGCCGCCGGGTTCTCCGCCTGCCTTCAAGGCACGTTACGTTGCTCGAGGCTTCTATCAGCGACACGGGGTCAAATTCTTCCATACCGTCCACCCTAAAGATGATTACTATTTAGGTGTTGCTGCACGTTGCAGCACAGCGTGACTATAAGCTGCACTCCCTCGACTTCTCCACAGCTTTCTTGCAGGGCAGCCTTCACGAGGAGATCTGGCTGCGCCGCCCACCTGGCTTCACTGGGTCGTTTCCTGCGGTTACCCAGTCGTGACTTCGGCGACAAGTCTACGGTCTCCGCCAGGTGCCCCTCGAGTGGCACGACACACTCGACACCTGCGGCTCTTGGGTTTGCCCCTTCCACTGCTGACCCGTTGCTGCTTCTACGCACCAACACTTCTCTGCCGCCTTTCTACGTTCTCGTGTACGTCGACGATTTGGTTTTTGCTACTGCTGACACTGAGGCGTTGGCCCTAGTAAAGACGGAGTTGCAGGAGGGACACACCTGCACTGACCTGGGTGAACTGCGCAGCTATCTTGGCTTGCAGATCACCCGGGAGAGCGCACGGCGCACCATCACCCTGACACAATCACACATGGTGCACCAGATCCTTCAGCTCTTCGGCTTCCAGTGCTCCTCGCCACAGCCCACTCCACTGCCTACAGGCCACTCTCTCTCAGCTCCTCCTTCAGAAGAGTCTGTAGAGCCGAGTGTTCTGTATCCAGAGCTTGTAAGTTGCCTCATATACCTGAATACGTGCATACGACCTGAAATCGCGTAGCCTCTCAGCCTCCATCACAAAAACCCTATGCCAAGTTTGGACGAATTTTGATTTCGATTGTCTTCGCGTAAAAAAATCCGGACCCAATTTCAATTGGCACGCGTGCTTTTCCGGAAGACATTCGCGCGCAATCCGTTTTGGTGCAATTTCGTGACCAGATCATTTAAAATATATTTTATTTTTTGTTTTATTTATGGGCTTGAGGATCTCAGAATTAAATTCAATATTCCGGTTTTCAGCAACCATTATTCAGCATTGTAACAACAAGCAGTTTTAACACCTAGTGAAATAGCCTACTCAATGGTGGGCCCTGCAAGCGCCCGGTGGGCAAGAACAACATCTCCAAGGTCGCCATCGTCGATGAGGAACTTGTTCGGGAAGACGAACGCACCCTGAGCCGGATCGTGTGGGATGCGTCGCTCCACGACGGCAAAGTGTATCATCTGTTTGACCTTGTCACACCATTCGAAGTAGTCCGGCCTGTTTTGTTCCGGCTGGGCCGGAATTCGCTTGCGGCGCTTGTCCTGCAGAAGGGGCCACTCGATCTGCAATGTGGTGTAGGGTTGGGTGGATGGTGTATGAGGGGGGGTAACGGGTATATGCTCCAGCTGAACCAGGTGAAGACGACACATCCTACGTAACCGCAAACGCCTAAGCGACCAGGGATTTAGATGAAGTACAGGCAAGGGGTTTAGGGGATGATGCATGGGTGTAGAGACACATATCTACCTCCTTACCGAAAACAGGCCCCATGCCACCATGCGGCTCTTGAACTTGGTGAACACGACCCCGCTCCTCTTGAAGGAGAGCTTGAACGCATAAGCAAACAAGGGGTTGCTGAAGGGTGTTCCGGTGGCCTTGTCAAAGTGCCAGTTGAGGGCCCACTGTTCTGCATTTTGGAGGGAGCGTATGGGTTGGAAAGGGGGCGCAGATAGATCAGGTGGGGGGGTGAGAGACAGGGTCAGAGTACCACGAAACGGTTATTTGTAGCTGCTGACTGGCTTATGGGCAGGGGGATATGGTGTGTTTGAGACGCACATACCATCTCTGTACTCCGCCAGGAGTTGCTCGTCGTTGAACCACTTCTTTGGGTGTAGCTCAGTGGGCAGGCAATCCACCGCATTGGCGTAATCGGAGAGACCCATGCCGGCGTACGTTGCTGGCCTGAGGGTGGTGTTGATTGTTGACCTGGTTGATGACATCTGGTGGTTGAAAACACCCATGGTTGACTTGTCGTTGTGCAACCACAGCAGCTTCATTGACTCTAGCCCCTCGGCAGACAAGTGGACAGCGAAGGCCTCGAACACTTCCTCCGGTGCAGGGTAATACTGAATTTTCTCCGGGGGGTTCAGAAACAGGAGCTGAGAGCACACTAAGTAGGCTTTGCTCTGCGCAGGGGTGTGGGGTTTACAACACGACACGGGGAGAGAGAAATTATGAGTAATAACTGTGGCCGGGTGACCACAGGATGGACTGTAGGAACTTTCCACGTCAGCCCCCACCCCTCACATCCCGCCACGTCACACCCTCCTGCATCCGCCACGTCAGGGAACAACAACCAGGCCCACGTGCCACGTCACACCCACCCACCCCATGCCACGTCACCCCCCCACCCACCTGACATGACCAGCATCGTCACGCGCCACTCCCGTGTAACCTTCCAGGCCGCCACATCAGCCCCAAGCCTCACATCCCGCCACGTCACACCCTCCTGCATCCGCCACGTCAGGGAACAACAACCAGGCCCACGTGCCACGTCACACCCACCCACCCCATGCCACGTCACCCCCCCACCCACCTGACACGACCAGCATCGTCACGCGCCACTCCCGTATAACCTTCCAGGCCGCCACGTCAGCCCCAAGCCTCACATCCCGCCACGTCACACCCTCCTGCATCCGCCACGTCAGGGAACAACAACCAGGCCCACGTGCCACGTCACACCCACCCACCCCATGCCACGTCACCCCCCCACCCACCTGACACGACCAGCGTCGTCACGCGCCACTCCCGTGTAACCTTCCAGGCCGCCACGTCAGCCCCAAGCCTCACATCCCGCCACGTCACACCCTCCTGCATCCGCCACGTCAGGGAACAATTACCAGGCCCACGTGCCACGTCACACCCACCCACCCCATGCCACGTCACCCCCCCACCCACCTGACACGTGTCGCCTGGTCCCGCGCTGCTCCCGTGTAACCTTCCAAGCCGCCACGTCAGCCCCACCCCTCACATCCCGCCACGGCACACCCTCCTGCATCCACCAAATCCACCAACGACCATCCCCACGTGACACGTCACACCCACCCTCCCCATGCCACGTCACCCCCCACCCACCGGACACGCGTCGCCTCGTCCCGCGCCGCTCCCCTGTACCCGTCCAAACCGCCACGTCAGCCCCAACCCTCACATCCGCCCACGTTACACCCACCCACCCCATGCCACGTCACCCCCCACCCACCCCATGCCACGTCACCCCCCACCCACCTGAAGGCTCTCGCCCCGTCATGCGCCGCTCCCTTGCATCCGTTCAACACCACCACGTCATATCTCAACCCTCACCTTTTTTGCCACGTCACATGCCCTTGCGTCCGCCGCCTACACCAACAGCTCAACCCACTTGCCACGTCGCACTCAGAGATCCGAAAGAGCCACGTCAGCCCCCGCCCACCTGTGGAGCCGCGTGTCGCCCTGCACCGCTCCCGCGCACCCTTTCCAACCGCCACGTCATCCCCAACCCTTCCCTGGTTGCCACGTCAACCCCAACCCGCCACATACCGGGAATGGGTTGGTCTCCCGAAGCACAAGCACACGTGCCCTGTCCACGGCACTCATCGGCGGCGGGGTACCAGCCATAGGCACCACTGCAGTCCCCCCGGCATAGCTGGCAGTTGCTCCACGACGCAGGCCGAGCTGAGCAAACATGGCGTACATCTCAGACCGTAGCTGCTGGAACTCGTCTCGTGTAACAAACTGCCCATGCTCTGCACCTTCGCCCAGCGCATCCATGACATCCGGAAAAGGGTGTGTAGAAACCCCTCTCTGGCCAAGGGGATCAACGTCTTCAGCAGCAGCCCCGTGTGCCCTCACACTATCACGCTGGCGGGGAAAGGGAGGCTCAGGGAAGGGATTGGCAGAAGTGCTTGGTTGATGCCCGCGCGATGGACCAGCGAGGGGGGAGACCGCCCTGCCCCGGACAGGAGAAGCGTGTAGTGGCCGAAATGGGTAAGAGGGAGAGGCGAGTGGGGAGTGCGTGACGGGGGCTGGTGGAGGGGATTCGGATTCCTCTCCTGTAGCCGCGCCGGGTGCAGTCGCAGCGACTTTGCTCGGGCCGGAGTATGGCGTGAAGAACCTTGGTGCTCCTGTGGATAGCGGTGCCACACTCGCTCTTCCGGCCCCTTTCGTTAGCTGCATCCGTTGCACGCTTACCGGTGGCCCAATGCCTGTAACACGGGGGGCTGAGAGTCACACGGAGGATGAGCACGGAGATGGTGTCTGCTATGTACATTTGGACACATGCACGCAAACGAGTAACCGCATGATTCAGACAGGGGTGTAGCTGGGAACTGTAGTGTATAGTCACGCCTTACCCGGTTTAGCCGATTCGTCAACCTTCTCCTTCCCTGCGGCGGGGAAACACGGGGTGGAACACGGTTTTGTTAGGGTCTGTTCATCACAAACCACGGCAGCTATGCCATGCGTTTGTGACACTTTGCGTACCTCGTTGCTGTCCCTTCGGTTTTGCTGCCTGCTCCTTATCGTTGCCCCCTTTCCGCGGTGTGCTTCGGCGGGTGCTGCCTCGTTTACGGGCAGGTTCCTTCTTTGCCGAACCTACAGGTACCCCTTTCGCGCGCCTTCCCTTTCCTTCTCCATCGCCTGCCCCACCCTGTCTCCCTTGCTTCCTTCCACCCCGGTCAGTTTCGACCTTCACTTTACGCGCCTTCGATTTGCCCGCTGGGCCGCCACGCATTGCGTCAACCGCCCCGCGTTTCCGGGATTGACCAGACCGGCCCCCCACCTTCCCTGTGCCACTCCCCCGTCTGCCTCGCGCGCCCCGTCCTTTCCCTGCCGGCTCCTCCTCCTCCTCCTCTTCCTCATCCGCCCCTTCCTCCACCTCCTCTTCCTCCACGTCGTCCTCCTCCTCCTCATCCTCCTCCTCACCATCATCCTCCTCCTCTTCCTCCTCCTCCTCCTCCTCCTCCTCCTCCTCCTCCTCTTCCTCCTCCTCCTCCTCCTCCTCCTCCTGCTCCTCCTCCTCCTCCTCACTCTTTTCCTCCTCAGGCTCGTCATCCCCCTCATCGTCCTCCTCCTCGTCCTCATCCTCATCCTCATCGTCCTCCTTCTCCTTCCCCTCATTGCCATCCTCATCCTCCTCCTCCTCATCATCGTCGTCCTCCTGCGCATCCTCGTCCTTTTCTTCCTCCCCTGCATCCTCGTCCTCCTCCTCCGCATCCTCCTCGTCCTCAACATCCGCTTCACCAGGGCCTTCTTTGCCGCGCTTCGGCCTCTTCCCCCTCGAGGCTTGCTTGCCCCCCCGTCCGCTAGATGGTTTCCGCAGACCGGGTCGGCCCTTTTGCCGCAAAGCATGATCTGTCGCCAAGCCACTTGGCTCCGTGGTGCCTCGCGTTGTCCCAACTTCAGCACCACCGGCGTCGTCACCGCTGGCTGTCGTCTGCCTCCTCTTTGCGCGTATGGGGATGTCCTCGGCCACGGGGGTGTCATACTCCTCCTCCCCATCGCTCTTCCTCTGCCTACGCCTCCCGCGTCCCCCAGAGGGAGGAGATCCACCGACGTCGGCAATGTCGTGTTTCGGCTCCTCCGTGCAATCGTGCGCAGCATTCTTCTCCTTATCTATCACTGCAGCAGATGCTTCGACCACGGGCGAGGGGAGCAGCGTCATATGCTGCTGTGATGCCTCTGCCACGGACACCACAGTTGCGGCCTGGTCGTCGCCGGGAGCCTCGCCGTGCTTTCCTCCAGTCGCCAAGCCCTCTCTGTCCCCCGGCCGGACGGCAACACTCACGCCGCCACGCCCAGGGTCTTCGTTCCCGCCGATGGTGCCGTCGTCGGAAGGACCGGGCTCGAGGGCAGCAGTGGCAACACCCGCATCGCTCTTCACGGCCGAAACACGCTTGCGTGCCGTTGGTTGCTTCCCCTTGTCCTCCGCCTTCTTCCCGGACTTCTTCGTTCCAACCTCAGCCTTGTTCCCCGCCGCACGTTTCCTTTGGTTGGTTTGCGCGGCGGCCGCTTTAGTAGCCCTAGATCTGGCCCCACCCTCATGGTCGGTCTGTATCGACATCCGCCGTGTCGTGCGTCGTTTTGCCTGCTCCTTCTCCTTTTCTGTTTGCCGAGTTGCACGTGTCATGAGGGTTGTACGAATGCAAGTTATAACTTGCGGGATTGTTTAGCCAGCTTTAGAAAATAGCCGAAAGGATTGTTACTAATTTACTCCGTCCCGGTCAAGCCAATACTGTCTCACCCTAAATCTCAGGTACGGTTACAACTGAAGAAGTAGCTACTAAGCACATGGCGTCAGCCCTTTGCTTCGTCGCTACTCTGACTCACTGGCGATCTGGAAACACCTGTGTTCAGCATCGAGCGGCGTCAAGGTAGTGGGTATGAGGGTGACGGAAGATGGTGAGTGGGGCACGACGGTCGTTGGGGTGGTTTGCGAGTCTAGAGAGGGGACTGTAAGCAGACAGCCACAATCGGATGGTCTACGATTAGCCACCCGATCAATAACCCACTAAACGCGGGATCACAGCCGCTGCTTCCGCGGCGAATGTCCAGCTTGGCTGGTCCGGTCATGGGGAGGGGGGTCGTTTGAGATGCGTCGGCCAATCAGCGCCGCTCGCATCAATCTCCGCAGAATCTAGTACCGTTTCGACACCACCAATCATCGCATCCTGCAAAATACAGTGCCAATGTGCATTGATCAAATTTAAACATAGGAGCAGAATACACTTGCAAAGAACAACTAAAACCATTTGTATTGAACTTGGCCGCTTGTGGTGTCATGTTGTGTTAAGTCTAGGGAGTGCATCTGGCATCGGACACGCTCTTTGACCTACCAACTCGTGGACTATGGAATGCTATACTGAGCACACATTCAGGGTTGGCGACGGATACCGGTCGTTGGAACTTGTTCAGGCACGACGTGTACTAGTGCCAACTGGAATGGAGATGTGGTGTGGTGTTGGCGTGTAAATTCATGCGTGGGCCCTCGAAATGGTGTATAGAGGGTGTGGAATGAAGCACAGGTCCAACGCACGAGCGAGGGTGCGTTATCGACAGCGCTGTTCCAACGCGGCGACGTTGCAGCGTTCGCAGACATACAGGGCTTGCGCGAGATGGTGAATCCGTAATGGAATGGTGCTGGCTTGGGCTCTATCCTTGCGTGGGCCCTCGACATGGTGTATAGAGGGTGTGGAATGAAGCACAGGTCCAACGCACGAGCGAGGGTGCGTTATCGACAGCGCTGTTCCAACGCGGCGACGTTGCAGCGTTCGCAGACATACAGGGCTTGCTCGAGATGGTGAACCCGTAATGGAATGGTGCTGGCTTGGGCTCTATCCTTGCGTGGGCCCTCGACATGGTGTATAGAGGGTGTGGAATGAAGCACAGGTCCAACGCACGAGCGAGGGTGCGTTATCGGCATCGCTGTTCCAACGCGGCGACGTTGCAGCGTTCGCAGACATCCAGGGCTTGCGCGAGATGGTGAATCCGTTATGGAATGGTGTTGGCTTGGGCTCTATCCTTGCGTGGGCCCTCGACATGGTGTATTGAGGCTGTGGAATGAAGCACAGGTCCAACGCACGAGCGAGGGTGCGTTATCGACAGCACTGTTCCAACGCGGCGACGTTGCAGCGTTCGCAGACATCCAGGGCTTGCGCGAGATGGTGAATCCGTTATGGAATGGTGTTGGCTTGGGCTCTATCCTTGCGTGGGCCCTCGACATGGTGTATTAAGGCTGTGGAATGAAGCACAGGTCCAACGCACGAGCGAGGGTGCGTTATCGACAGCGCTGTTCCAACGCGGCGACGTTGCAGCGTTCGCAGACATCCAGGGCTTGCGCGAGATGGTGAATCCGTTATGGAATGGTGTTGGCTTGGGCTCTATCCTTGCGTGGGCCCTCGACATGGTGTATAGAGGGTGTGGAATGAAGCACAGGTCCAACGCACGAGCGAGGGTGCGTTATCGACAGCGCTGTTCCAACGCGGCGACGTTGCAGCGTTCGCAGACATACAGGGCTTGCGCGAGATGGTGAATCCGTAATGGAATGGTGCTGGCTTGGGCTCTATCCTTGCGTGGGCCCTCGACATGGTGTATAGAGGGTGTGGAATGAAGCACAGGTCCAACGCACGAGCGAGGGTGCGTTGTCGACCGCAGCGTCTAAACAGGCGACGCTGTAGCGGTCAGGCCTTGGGTGTTGCGCAACAAGGTGAGTCCGTTGTGGTACGGTGTTGGATTGTCCTCTAGCCTTAGACAGATATTCAAGTAGGTGCCTCTAAGGGGTATGAATGAGAGGCCCAACGCACAAGCGGCGATGCGTTATCGTGAGGGCACGGAGTTCTTGTGTACTTCCCGTATGTAGCCAGATCACACAAGAGATGAGAGGATATGGTGTTCAGACTGTCACGTTGTCAACTAGGGGTGGATATCGAGCAGGTCTTTTCATATGACTATGTCCTAGTTATCAACAAAGACTTTACTGTGTAGAGAAAAATCAATTATACAATGTACTATCATTGTATTTGGGCTATGGTCAAGCGCAACACTATGCGCTCACTTACGTGTGCGCGATTTCCCCCCTATAACGCTTCGCGACTGAATCACAGATCCAAACGGATCTCTTCCCGCTCTTCCTCATCCCACTCGACTCTCATGCACCAAGGGTGCGTGAATCCACAGGCACGTCGTTCTCACCATGCTCGCAACGCACACACACGACCCACCGTCTTAAGATCAGGCGCATTTCCCGCTGCTCACGACGTGGTCTGTCTAAACGGGGGCGACACGCCTTGTAGGGAAGACGATCCGTGCTGTGAGCGGTCTGTACCGTGCCTTGTCACGACCGCGCGGCTCGAACATCGTTTGCCAGTCCCAAACATCGTTAAGCGGCCCGCTCAAGTGCCAGTCGTGCAGTGATACAAGCCGCCTTCGACAGTGCGCGGTTTGGCGATGACCTGGTTGCATTAACAGCCTTCTTGAACGGTGTACTTAATGCCTTCTCAAGCTTCCCACGACGCTAGTTGCTTCACAGGCCATTTCTCAACACTTAGACAGATCCGTAAAGCATGGGCTCCTTGCCTGGCGTCGTCTGCGAGTTCTGCAACAGATGGTTCCCCAACGCCCAAGTTTATGGCGGTCATAAGTCACGGCGGACCCCTTGTCAAGGCCTTTCCGCCGTGGCAAGGCCCTCGCGATCTGCACCGTCAGCCGGTCTACACGCACTGCTATTCGTCCACGACATTCTGTCGGACGCTCCCGCTGCTCCCGCTTCCCCTACCGCGTCTAACGCGTCCAACACCGACGGTGTGAATGGTCCTCCTCGCGTCCCGGTAGCTGACGAGGACGCAACACCCTCGGCTGTGAACGTGGGGGCTCCTGAATCTGAGCATCAACCGTCACCAGAAACACCTGCAGATGACACGAGTGAGCATCAGGGGTGCCGCCCTGGAGTGAGTCACGCGGCACCGCCGACAATCATTTCCGGGGAGAGCAATGCGACGCCCCTCAGTCCGATTGCGTTGAAACTACTGCATTTCGTGAGGCGCGTAAATGGCGGAATGGGCATGGCGGAGATCGACATCAATGGCCTGCTTCAGCTCGTGGTGGAGCCCGGCCTTGCGCCTCTTGTGATCTCAGAGATCCGGAACTGCAAGGATCTGGAGCGGTTCGAGATGGAGCGCTTGGTAGGGCTCAATCGCGGATGGTCAGTGGCGACCTTCGAGATTGAGGGTCATCCGCCACAGCGCCTCCTCTTCCAGAACTCCGCGCAGGTAAGCCGACTCTGGAACCGTGGATGCGAACTGCAGATTCCGCATCCTTGTGGAGCTTGTTGGGAATGTTGCATTTGTTAGGCATGTGTGCGATCTGGCCCGTGAAACGCTCCCGCCACTAAACCAGGGTTTGGTTCTCTCCCGCTCTTGATCTCGCACTCCAGGCGTTTGCTGAACTGTTTGGGCACACCAACAACGCACCCGGCTTCAAGCTCAAGGCTCGTGTTGATGAGGACCCTAACACTGGCGAGCGTCGCTATACCACGCCAGAAACAGGAACGTGGTGGAACGATGCTCAGGTATGTAAATACCCCGCTGCCACCCAAAACCACACGCGTGCGCATGCGTCCGTTGATGCGCTGATGTGTAGGCAGCATCTTCAGTGCGTCATCTTCGTGGGGAGTTTTTTGTATCAGGCTCAATCCGCCTGGCGACACTTTACCTTGATGGTGTTTGACCGTGTGTTGTTTCCGTCTTTGTCGTGCAATGCAGGAACACTTCGGATGGTCCGAAGTCGTGGGGGGTATCATCCTATATTCAGATGTGACGGACATGAGCAACAACGGCCGGAAGAAGGCGTGGCCGCTCATGATGACGCTTGCCAACATCTCCCAGGCCAAGCGATGGGGGAAAGCCGGGCACACGCTACTTGCTCTCCTTCCTATCCCCCCTTCTGCAATGACTGCCGTCGAGAAGGTGATGCTCTTCCAGCGATGCGTCATCACCGTGCTGCAGCCGCTTCTTGATGGCATGGACAGGTCCGTACTCGATTTCCGTCATGCTATGTCGTCACCGTAGCAACAGCATAGCGTGCGCAGCGTTTTTGTATGTTGCATTACCCTTTGCCCCTCCTCGCTGATGCACAGAGTCGTCCTGGCTGTTGCTGTTCCCACTCTACCCGTTCCTCGCAGCGGCCTCCGTCTCAAGGACCCTTTCGGCGATTGGCAAACAGTGCGGCCACTGCTGTACGCCTGGGTGTGCGACTATCCCGAGAGCGGCAAGATCAGTTGCACACTCTCGCATGGATCGCGGATGCCGTGCAGCATCTGCTATGCTGCAAAGGTGAGCAAACATGCCAGCTGCGCGCCTTCAGCACCATCGTCATCTGAATGGCACGTGACGGACCTCCTAATCTTACCTCCCTTACCTGTTCATCCCTTCCAACCTCCTGTGCTACACCAGGAGCATTTGGTTGCTGTCAAGGCACGGAACACGCCGCGCACGCCTGAACAGCAGCAATGGATCGTGAATGAGGCGGCTGGGTTGACATCAAGCCAGGCCGACCCATGCAAGACCT